TTGATCAAATTTGCCACTGCTAGCAATTACATTGTATACTAAAGCTACCTTGTATATTAAAAGTGGTTTTGTACAGTATAGCACTTTTCTTCCCCATCAGGAAATTATTCCTATGCTAGGGAACTACATGCTAATATTCCCAGGAAGATCATATGGTTCATAAAATAGTGTAAAAACTAACTTATAGTGTAAACTACTATCAGTTTACAAAACAGTGTGCAGACTTTTGAACTGTGCAAAAAAGTTATATGGTTTTCTCCTCTTTTTTTTTATTTGTAGGTTCCAATGTATAAAATCCTATCAAAAATGAAAGGACTCATTTAAGAGCTCCAATTCTCTTCCTTAAGTACAGTCTCCCTCAACTAGTGTGGCTTAGTGGTTAAGAGCATGGGACTGGGACTCAGGCGATCTGGGTTCTAGTCCCCACTCGGCCATGGAGCCAACTGGGTGACTTTGGGCCAGTCACAGACTCTCAGCCCAACCTACCTCACAGGGTTGTTGTTGTGGGGATAAGATGGAGGAGGAGAATGATATAAGCTGCCTTGAGCCCTTTGTAGGAAAAAGGCAGGATATAAATTGGGGGAGGGGGGAACCCTGCCCTCCAGATGTTTTGGGCTTCAATTCCCATTAGCCTCAGCCAGCATGGCAAACAGTTGGGAATGCTATCAGTTGTGGTCTAGAAGAACTCTAGGGTGCCAGGTTGGGGAAGGCTGTGCCTATAACTGTCATGAGACAAGGTTCATCTGAGCAGTCAAAAGCCACAGACTTTCCTTGCAAAATGTTCTTTGATACTCCCAAGTACAGTTCACCCAGAATGGGTCTCTGAACATGCACAGAGCAGTTTGGTGAACCCAATCTAGTGTTTACCTCCAGGAACTCTCCTTAAGTACATTCATGGGCCCCATCCTTTTCAGAGGGGCCTTCTGTAAGCGACCACACCTCCTCTCTGCACGTCACTCAGTCAGTTTGGCCTCCCGCCTCTGCTGATGCCTTGTCATGGGGTCAAGACCTCATCTTCAGTGACCCCTCCCACTGGCTTGGTCATCTTGGTCATTCCCAGAAATGGTCTGGCTCAGCCAAATGCCTGGTCTTGACATCATCTCCTCCACCTCCTGCATCTCAGAATCTTGACTCAACCCATCATGCCCAATTTCACCGTAAGATGTTTCACGTTCTGATTCCATTGTCTGGGACTCAGCCAGCAGCCCATGAATACAATTGCCCAGGACTACCATCATTTTCACTCTGCCTCCTTGAATTAGTCAGACAACACAGCTTGCTGGTAAAAGTGGGTTGGTGCATCAGCTCTGAGTCAAAACAGATCTTTCACTGTCAGCTAGTTCTAGTACGCTGTCGAAGAACTGGCATAAATGATGCTGCTTCTGGTAGCATGTTCAGAGCTAGTTTAGCAGTGGGCAAAATGAGCACTTGCCTTGGGTTTTGCAGTGCTGAAATGGCCTCTCAAATTTCTCTGCCTTGTTTTTGGCAGAAAAATTGGGACTATTTCACCATAATTCTCCAAAGGATGGAGTAATTCTTGACAGTTTCTCAGATAAGGGCTCTAGCATAGCTTCTTCCTCTCTCATTTATTTATTTTGGTACTTTTTTGGTTGCACAGGCAGGCTGGTGTCAATTTTACATCCACCACCAAGCAGGTTAAGAGAGGGACAGTGTTTTGCTGAACTCTAGGGAGAGGCAGAGCTAGTCCTCCCAATTTCTTTAAAGTTTTCTTCCCCCATGAAAAAAGATTCCATTGCTCTATCTCATTATCAAAGTGTTTTATCATGTAGGTTTGTGGTGTTTTGAGCTCACCTAACCAGTACAAGCCAGCCAAGGAAGCTGTGTGTTTCCTTTCTATTACACTTCTTTCTGTTGCGTTGCAACCTCTCAGGTAACCTACACTGCCGGGTCTTAAAAAGCCCAAGGAGAGGAATTATGCCATGATATCTTCCCCTGGGCTTTAACTGAAACGTGGGAACTCTGGAGGCTGCCAGTTTTTGGAGAAATAATTGTACACCTGCACAGATTTCTCTCCTGACTTCTCATTAAGAAGAAGCCCTGAATCCAGCCCATGAGAAAATCTGTAATTCTTTTTCACCACTGAATTTCTTTCAACTTGTTTTCTATTGTGCTGAATGAAAATGGTAAAAAATGTTGGGGGATTTTTTGGCAGAGTCCTAGCTCTGAGTGCCAGGCTGAGTTCAGAGATGATGAGGGTTTGGGTTATGCTGTCTCCAGGGGGGGGACTAAGAGTGCCCTGCTATGCATGTTTAGACAAAATAACTCAAACAAACCCTTATTACTCTGTGAAATGACCAGGAACACTGGTAGTTGTAGACCTTTTAATCTCTCAATAGATATAAGAACATGTCCCGAAGCAGCAATTCTATGCAAATTTGGACATTTAAAAGCAGCCTACAACTCCCAGCAGGCCCTGGATAGGAGTTGTAGGCCTTTTTTCCTGTCTAACCTTAAATAAGGTTGTGCCCTAAGTGTTTTTAATATACTTTTCAGGTTGATTGGCTACTAACAACAAGTTGTTTGGAAGCAGACTATAACAATATATTAGCTTTGGGATATTTTTGTAATTCAATGTTATTCAGCCTTGATAAAAAATAAGTGGAATGTGACGCTACTCGGAGGCACTGAACAGTACTAATGAAGACTATGAGCAGTATAAATTATTAAAAAACAACAACAAACTTATATGTTGAAAGGGAACACTGAAGATTTTCCTTACCTCATGATGCTACTTATTCTTACGAGTGCAATCAGTCAACACTCAGGTATACCTGAGTGTAATTGTACGTGCTCTTCCTTTACTACCTCTGTAAATGTACAAATCTACATATGTGTTAGAGGTGTTAGTTGGAAATGATCTTGTTGGTCAGATTTTAAGATAGGAGGCATTATAACAAGCATAGCATTTCATGCTTATTTCCTGAACAGCATTTTCCTTTCATCACTGTAAGAATGTAAGAAGAGGCACACTGGATCCAGCTAAGAACTATCTAGGGCTAGGCCGTCATTCTGTTCACACAATGGCTAAGCAGCTGCCTGCAGGAAACTCACGAGCAGGACTTGAAGGCAAGGCAACAGCACCTCTAGCCCATGTTTCCCAGCAGCTAACCTAGCCCTATTACTTCTCATACTGGAGGTAGCATAAAGCCATAATCCATAGAAAGCCAGTGTGGTGTAGTGGTTAAGAGCATGGGACTGGGACTCAGGCAACCTGGGTTCTAGTCCCTGTTCCACCACGGAGCCAACTGGGTGACTTTGGGCCAATCACAGACTCAACACAACCTACCTTACAGGGTTGATCTTCTGGGGGTTAAGATTGAGAACAGAAGAAGGAGAATGATGTAAGCTGCTTTGAGTTCATAAGGAAAAAAACAAGATATAAATCAAATCAAATCAAATCATTCATTCATTCATTCATTCAATCAGTCAATCAATGTATTGGTCCAATTCCCCTTTAAAGCCCTCTAAATTGGTGGCCATCACTACTTTCTGTGGCAGTGAATTCTTTCCTCCTTTTATCTGTTCTGAATCTTCCAGCAATCAGCCTCATGGGATGACCTCAGATTCTGCTGTAATGAGAGAGGGAGAAAAATGTCTCCCTGGTCACTTTCTCTATACCATGCATAATTTATATACCTTTATTTCCTTTTTTCTAAGCTAAACTGTCCCAGCTACTTCTCATAGGGGAGATGGTCCAGCCCTTGATCCTTTTAACTGCTATTTCCTTCCTTTTTCCAAGTCTGTAATATCCTTTTTTACCTGCAGTGATCAGTATCCCAAGAATAGTTGCCCCATAGATTTGTACAGAGGGGAGAATGATACTGGCAATTTTATTTCCAATTCTTTTCTTAATTATCCAGAACATGGATATATTTTTGCTCCGATCCAACCACTTTACATGAATCTCTTTGGCCATTTTGTGAGAACCATTCTCCCAGTTTTGAGAGCTCCTTCTAGTGTTCCTCACCACCTTTTGTTTGTTTTGACCACCCTAAATAATTTGGTGCCATCCATAAACTTGCTGTCTTCCTTGCTCACTCTTAATTCCAGTACTTGCAACTGCCTATTATAGCTCCCATTTTGATTCAGCAACAGAGGCTGCTGATGCATAATGCAACCCTGATGAACTGTGTGACATGCATCTCCCTCTGGGACTGTCCCTCTGGGACTGCCAGTTTTGTGTGATGAACTGCCTATGTCTGCGTGTGGCATGGGACCCATAGCAGGGTCAGATGTGCAGTCCCCGTTGAAAAAAAGCAAGACCAATGGTGCTTCATTAGCATTCTTAACTATATAAATTTGAATGATGATGGGTGCAGGCAATCTATGTCTCATCTTTTCAGGTGCCTCGGTTGTTCCCTCTGCCGAAATGCACTAGACCTGCATTGTAACAGCAAAAAGGGCCTTTCCAGGACCATTTAGGGAGGATAATTCCCACTTTTCTCATACATAACTCTAAATTGTCACATAACCATGACTCTTCCCTATGTGAGCAGTTTGACGTTCTCCTGTTAAACTGTTCTGGGTAGCTCATGTTTCATCAATAAGGTGAAAGGATTGACTGCAACTATCATCTACTTGATGGGCACCACTTTCTATTTTTGATTGAGCAAGCAATGCCTCTCCAGCTGAAAGGAGGAAGACCAAGGCAAGGTGTGTGCTCATAGAAATTGTACTTCTTGAAGAAACTGGGAGATTTTCCTCTTAACATGGAGCTCTCATGGTGTTCCATTCAAGGAACTGTGCAAATCCACACTTCCTTAACTTCCACAGTCCTGTAGTAACACCAGTCATACAAGCCAGTATGCTTTCTTATTCTTTTGCGATAGCTATAGCAGTCATTTCGCTCCAGGTGTTTAGAATTAATTTTCCTTTGTATTTTATTTTCATACAGCTTGCATAAACTCATTATAGACCTATCCTTTTCACATGCAAACTGTTTATTAAGAAATATATTCATTATAAAATAGCAGTAATATTTCAAAAGCATTAACAGTCAAGCAAAAATAGAAATGTCTTTACAAGTTTTTACTGAACACACACATTTTTGAGAACAATTTCTAGACATGAAAATACAGAAAACACTTGGGCATGATGACAGGGATATAAAATCTTCTCTTCTTTTACAAAAACGGAAAGATGAACAACAGAGTCAATAATATCCTCATGTGTAGAGCCAATATTAAAACAAGGAGAAGTCAGGCAATGTGCATAACAAGGTAATATAACTGAAAACCATACACAATTAGTGCAAATTGAATAAAGTTCTACTATATATAGAAGAAAAATCCCAGAAGATGGAAGGACTTTGCAAGCAGATCTTATATGGTGACTTGAAAGGAAACCCATATAAGATGATTAATCTCTTAGCAGGTACTTGAGTAATCACATTTTTGAGGAGGTGTAAGCTAATAAGCATAAAGCACTTAAAATCTGCATGACTGCACTATTCAGTGCGCTTGGTGCTGCCATGCATAAGGCTTTTGTTGCAAGGGTGGTTTTTTTGTCCATATATCAAGCCTCTGAGTTTCAGGAAAGCAAACTGATCACTAGCCTGAATCAAGGAATATTATTCCTTTGCTTATTCCAGATCTTCAGTCACTGAAGTTCAATGCAGTCAGACTGATTAATTTTATGCCATATCTTTCTCCAATTTGATTTTTTTAAAAAAATCCTCTTCACACTGAATTTCCTACATTTGCTAGTTCCCCACAGAGCAATATTTTTGGGCCTGTGGGAACATTTAGAAAGCTGAGATGCTGTTATAGGCCCAGGCAAAATACTGGCTGCTCTGTGATCTGCCTAGTTAGATTTTCCAAGAAAATGGTTGCATGGCCTGGGTTTGGGCCCCAAATGCCAAGGCTCATATTTGTTCCTACAAAGCAAAAGGTGCCCATTTTACAGAAAGAAAAACTGGTGATGTTCTGATTGTTCTTCCAACAATCAAAGAGGCAAAATACTCCCTCCCTACACACCACAAAGTAAACAGACAGGCAAAAATACCCCTAAACCAAAAAGAAATGAACAAAAATGCCTCCCTAAAAACACAACAGCATATTTCAGCATTTTCAGAGAGGCTCTTCATCACTTGTGGACTGAGTGTAGAGTGATCCTGATGATTCGAAGTAGACGGTATCGGGGAATCCACAGGCTTTGCAAAATATTTTTGAAAAGATGTAGTTCTTAAAGAATAGTTTGATGTATTTCTTGAACTTTTGTCCCATGAAGAAGTAGATAATAGGATTAAGAGAGCAGTGAAAAAACGCTACTGTTTGAGTTACCTGAATTGCATAATCCAGGTTTTTGCTGATTTGGCATTCTCTAATAATGCCTATATCAACCAAACACTGTAAGAAAAGGACAATGTTATAAGGGGTCCAAAACAGGAAAAACACAAGCATAACAGCAAAGATCATTTTGACAGCCTTCTTTTTCTTATTATTTCTGCAGCGCAGCAGGGTCTTCACAATCTCTGTATAGCAAACCAACATGACAATGAATGGCACAAGAAGGCCTAAAATGTTGGTTTCCAAGGCAGTGAAGAGATTCCATGTTGTCTGATTCTTGAAGTACACTAGCTTGCACATTGTATAATTATACTCACTAACAGATTGGCTGAATATTATTTCTGGAATAGCAGCTGTACCAGCAATCACCCATACAACAACACTAGTCACAATGCCATGGCTGACAGTTCTTGCTTTCAAAGCAAACACAACATGAACAATGGCAAGGTACCTGTCGATGCTCATGAGTACAATGAAAAAGATCCCACTGTAAAATCCAACCTGGTAGACCCAAGAGATTAGTTTACAGAAGCCATTTCCAAACACCCACTCATCAGCCACGAAATATGACCAGAAAGGAAGAGCCAAAACAAAAAGCAAGTCGGAGATGGCAAGATTGAGCAGGTAGATATCCGTCATGGTTCTCAGCCTCTTGTATTTCAGCAGCACCAAGACGACAAGGAGATTCCCTGCCAAGCCAAACAGGAACACGAGGGAGTAAAATGTGGGAAGGAACCAAGAACGAAAACGCCTCACTCCTGCTTTGCTGCATGGGGCTGGGGTGTCATCATAACTATAATCATACACCGAATACTGCGTGAATATCCTGGTGATGTTGTCTGCTTCAGGGATAGTTGTCATTTTCCTGTGAAACCTAAACAGAAGGATAAAATTTGTCAAAAGCAGACCATGCAGGCAGAGAAGCTGAAGGGGGTGGGAGACAATTTCAGAGAATTTCTCCAGGGGCAGGAGAAATTGTCCAACAGTTTTGCACACGTAAAGCTCACCATTGGCAGGGCATATAGCACAACTGTTTCCTTTAATTAAAGGACTCCCCTGCCTCCCGTTTTGATTTGGAGAACCTCTAGGGAAGGGCACAAATTAATTTAAGAAGGAATTTTGAGGCCAGTTGGATGAGAAATTAATTGGCTGGCTTTCTATTCTGGGAAATTTAGATCCATCTTAGGAATTATTTTTAGAATTACACATATATATGTGGATGTGCAGATTCTTGGCATGTGGTCCCGGACTCCCAAACCTGTAAGTGCCTAGCAATGGCCCTGGGAACAGTGATCCTACAGAGAAGGACACATTCTTATGCCACCTCAGGTAAACACCACCACTCCCAAAACACAGTCCATGAGCAGTCGTTTGACATTTTTTCCTCCTCTGAATTTCCTTTCTAAAGCCATGTATTTGCTATCAAACTGAATGCAAGTGGCTGAAAATGTGGGAGACATTTTTGGCGCAGCACTATTAACATGGGAAATTTCCTTTCTTCCCACTCAAAGTGGGCTTAAAATGCTATGCAATGAGGGCTTCTGGACAGGGAGAAGGACCAGATAGCAGTTGATCCCTGTGGATGAGCACGACTTACAGAGTAGGGCTGGCGAAGCCATAGCACACAAGGCAAATGCTTCCAAATGTGCCCAGAGCTCTTCTCCCCAAATCAGCAGTGGATTTTAAAAGATATATTTTGGGGCGCAGTAAATGGCGTCTGCAGCTTGAACATGAGTGTAGGGATAACTTTGAAACAAACTAGATTTATAACACCCAGTTCAGTAGAGACACCTTTTCCCCTTCACTTTTTCCTACCAACAAAACCACCAATGACTTCCTTCTGTTTTTCTCAGTGCACTTAGTGATGTCTTGCATAACATTTTTATTGCAAACAGGGCTTATTTATCCATATGTCAAACCTCTGCGTTTCAGGAAGGCAAGCTGATTCCCCTGACCTGTTTCATGGGATATTATTTCCATGCTACCCCAGTTTATTCCAGATTTTCAGTCATGGATGTTTAATGGAGACAGATTGTAGGGGGCACAGTGGGGATGCAGCCCTCTCCCATATCTGCCCTCTCCTGCTCTAAATTTTGTTGAGCCCCAAACACCGTGAGCAACTGCCTTTTGGTGTTTTGAGTCAGTTACTGAAGTTACTGACACACCCCCTGACTGAAAAAATAATTTTTAGGTTCATTTGAAAACTTTTTGCTGGGAGGGAGGTTTTCTGTGTTGGGCAATAATAAAGAAGAATTCAGAAATCCAGAATTTAGTGTAGCCCATGCCTGGGTATTAAGGGTTGCATCCAGCTGTGTTATTCTACTTACTCAATCATGTTGTGCTAGTAAAAACTAGATTCTGAACTATGTATAATAAGAGGATCCAACTGAAGTTACATCTGCACAAGCATATTGCCTAGCTCCTTTCATGTTGCATGAATGCCACAGCCACTATGCAGGATATTTGCCCAAGCAGTCATACAAATTTGCCCAAGCAGTTGAACAAATGTAATACGCCACTGTGTGTGCAATGGGAAATTCTGGTGAAGGTCTGCTAGCCCTGTTTGAGTTTCAGGAATGACACCTCTGGTGTTTGTCAACCCTTAAAAGTAAAAGGGGCAGCAAAGAGTTTATGCTGCTTTCAACTCCCATCTTAAGTTCTAACATAACTCAATAAATGTGTAAACATGTACCAAATATACTCTGTTAATGTATGCAAATAAGACTTTTGATTGTGTCTACATGAGACAGATCTGTGGCTAGGAAACTGGGTTACACATCAGCACTACAAAGTCGCCCAGTAGCGTTATTCCTTTTTTTTAATGTGGTATGTTATGGGGCTTTTAGGGAAATGAAGTGTGGGGAGTGGGGGATGACATTGATTGTAGCAGCCATGCAATTTATTAAGGTGTAGAAGTGCTTGTTCGGATGTGTGTGTGTAGCTTTCAAAGAATCTGCAAGTTGTAGTTCCTGCAGGAGGCATGTGGGGTGGGCACTCTTATCTCTTACTGCAGGCTTTGTAGCTGACATTTGTAGCTCTGCATGTAAATCACTGAAGCCAAGTTTCTGTTGATCTGCTCAACAGGTGTCATTTTTAGACGCAATTGCCTTTTAAGGCTTGTAAGACTAGAACCTTCTTTTGTGATCGCTTCAACGTAAGGGACATGGCGGTGCCCCTTGGACTTTTTCATTAGCATAAAAAGTCCAGCATTAATTCACCATGCTGTATACACAGATACAAGCTGGCAGTCTTTCTTAGTCTTTCTGATGATGAAGACTGCATAAATCAAAGGCTGGGCAACACCAGAGGCTGAATATTAAAATTTATTCCTCTTCCAACCCATAATCAAAGACTATGACCCTTCAAATGTCCAGTTTCTTCAGCCATACCAGCAGATTTTAGTGTCTTTGCACTATTAACAGCAGCATTAACTTATCCCACATGTTGGGGTAACTGACCTCCCCCCCCCCCCTACACCTTACATTCTTTTTTTATTTTTTACATAAATCTACAGTCTAGTCCTCCTAGGACATCATCAAACTCTGCCTAGTAAAAAAAAAAAGTACATACATTTCAGTCTCCTGCCTTTTAAACACCATTTCTCTAAGCCAAAGCAACTCTAGGGCCAAAAATATCCCCAAGATTGCATAAAAATAGCTTTGTGGGGTACTTTTATATCCAAACAAAGGCACAAATGATGGTTAAATATAGGCCATCTTAATCTCTTTTGAACCCCAAGAATCTGAGCAAACAGAATCAAAATCTGTGGAAAGAAAGCTTCTTTATGCTGTTTAAATTTTGTAAGTCAAACTACTGCAATGCAGTTTAAAGGTCAATCAGTCCACATTGATAGGCAGATTTGATTGTTATGCATAGCTTGTGGAAAAAAAATTATATTACCTAAAGCCATTTTTATGCTGACTGAAACCTCCTGGGGGAAACTTGCAGCCAGAGCAAGCGTCATTCATACGCAGCATTTGCCTTGCTGGAGGCATTTGTGTATGGGGTCCAGAATGGCCCCTTATGTGACTAATGCTAGGTTTCATATTGACTGTTCCAGTGAGAGGTAAGATACATGTGGGAGAGAAATATGTAAATATCTTTAGTTATAGTAGAAGAGGCCCTGGTCTTATGGGCCAGGATTGGATATGGCTGCTGAAGCTCCACTGGGTAAAACATCAGCAAAGAAGGCAATCCTAAACATTTCAGCAGGATCCAAAGCACTTCCTGAAAAATGCCTGGAGTTATCCAGAGAGCATTTGAGTACTCTAAAAGTGGTAACAAACAGGATCTGTGTGAATCCAGATGCTAAAACACTTTTTTGAAGCCCTAGTCAGTACTATATGCTATAGACTGGAAGACAAATTAAATCAAGTTTAGTCTAAAGACATTACTGAACCCAAACAGTTCTCAGAGCAGACTGCTCCCATAGACTTGGTGTTGAAATCAGATGGCAGTATAAGGCTTTGTGGAGACTACAAAGTCACTACAAAGTGAACTCTGCAATGAAGTTGAACACATGCCCAATTTATACAGTTGAAGATCGATGTGAGATGTGGGATCTGCCCCTAGAAACTGAAGAGCCTAATGCTTTCCAAAGAGCTTTGGGGGATTTTCACTTGGGGTGACTAGGGCTCCTGTCAAAATCCTGGTCCCTCTATATAATATGGAACTGAGTAGAAAAGTTGTCACAATCACACCAAGCACTTTTTCCCCCTTGGCAGAGTCAGATTAGCCTGTTGGTATGGCTTGGAGTTTTGAGCATTGAGGCAAGTGGGACATTGATTGGAATGTAAGTGGAGAAGGACTTGTGAAGAGTCCAGCTGAACACTGGTTCATCCTCATTATTGAAGTTACTGTGCAGTGGTTAAGGTGGCAGAGAAGTTACTTTTGAAAATCTCCATTGCAACTTCACAGTTTTACCAAGCAGGTGCTTTCAGGTGCTGAAGAGGCTATTACAACCTGATTCTGAGAGGTAATTGGTCTCACCTTAAATAACTTGCTGTGATAAAAATTGCATGAATTTAAATATAAATATTTAAATCCATGCCATTTAATTATAAAATTATCTGTGTTCAGCATTGGGTTCTCCTATTAGGACAGTTCCTTTAACTGAGAGGTGCAGAGCACTGTCTGGTCCAGCTATATTGGTGAAGATGCAGACAAGGTGCTTCAGAGAGATTGACCACCCACGTGTATGATTCAACCCTTGATCCTTTTGACTTGCTACATCTAATGAGGAGATGAGCACTTGGATCTGTGAGGTTCTAAGTTCCTTCTTGGGAAAAGGTGAATTTTCCTTCTTCACAGAAGCAGTAATCAGGCCACACTTGATGAAACCTAACATAGACCCAGAGGTGGACAACCACCACAGGCCATTGGCTGACATATTTTATTTATTATTTATTAAAACATTTTTATGCCGCCCCATTTGCCGAAGCCTCTTGGGCAAGGAGAAGCATGCTTGGTTGCTGATCCACTCCAGATGTTCTTCGAAAAAGTTGAATTTCTAGATCCATTTCAGCCTGAGTTTAGGTCCAGTTTTGGATCAGAAACTGCTTTAGTTGCCCTGTGGGATTACTGTTGCCAAGAGAGAGACCAAGAGCACCACGTTCATTGTCCTGGACCTTTCAGTGACTTTTGATGGTATCCTTCTGGTTTGGGAGATGGGACATTGCTTACATGGGTAGCATTCTTGCCTGGATGGTTACCTCCAAAATGTGGTGATGGAAGATTATTGCTGTGCTCTGTGGCACAAATGTCACAAGTTTCCATAGCACTCAGTTTTATTCTTCATGCTATTTAACTTTTGCAAGAAGCAGCTGGGAGAGAGTATTCAGTAGGTTTCACTGCGATAAATATGCCAGTGATACCTGGTTGTACCTCTCCTTTTTGTCAAACCCAGGTGAGGTAGCAGAAATCCTGACTTGCTGCCTAAAAAGAATAATGAATTGGATGGATGGGCATTTCGCCCCTTTTTGCATGGTTAGCCTTCAGACTGATGCATGTTTTGCACTTTGTCCCAAGTGCATCACACCACCTTTTCTGAGGGAGAAGGAGCTTTGACAGCTATCTGATTTGACAACGTTAAAATGAAGCTAGCTGATTACACTCTGAATCCTTTTAAAAAGGCGGGTTTTGAAGGGCAATGGGGGATTTTTGACTGGGTCATATATAGTGATATGTCCCAGAGAAAAGCCCCTATTGTCCTGTCAAAACTCCCCTTTAAAGGGTTCCCAGAATTTTAACAGCTGGCTTCCTGTTAAAACGGTCAAAACTCTTTTTCTCCTGAAATAGTTTTGGAATGGACTTTTGTACTTTCCCAAACAAGTCTTGTATCACCGTGAGGGCTGTCATGGTAAAAAAGAGGGAAAAATTATGATCTCACCATGAAGGGAGTGTAAATCTCACCTCCCCTTTTTGAGAGATCACTTATGTGTTTGCTTTCCCATGACAGCTTGACCTTCCACTGCTGACAAGAGAAGGCAAAGGAAAGAAAAGGCCTATTTGGACCCTCTTTTGGTCAATCTCTAGGGTTGGTACCTGCTGCACTCTAACTGCAGATACTTTCCTAACACTGTCCCACTGAAGGTTCTGATTTCTGCCCTCATTCAATTGTGCAATTATAAAATCATAATTTTAAAATAAAATTATTTATTTTTAAAATTTATTTATTTATTTTTCATGGGTGAAAAATCACATGTGCACAATAAAAATAATAATTTTTAAAGATTTTTGCAGACCTTCTTTGCATGCAAAAATAATTTTAGTAATAATTTCTCAACCAATGACTGCTTGGATTATAGCAGCACATGAGCTTGGGACTACCATTGGAACATGATCACCTGCTCAGATTTCTGTATGTGCTATTTAAGGTGCAGGGCAGAAGTGAGAAACAAAAGTTGCCATCTCTACAGTGCAGTAGCTGTGTGGAAAAACATGCACATTGTTTGGGCAGTTGTCAATTGGTGTGCTGTCAAAGGAGAAGTGAAGCTCTGATGGTATTTTTGGTAGTGAAGACGGGGGCTGAAGATCACCCACTTCTCAGAGAGGTCAACTTGGTTATATTCCTCTTCCACATTTCCATCCTTTCCTGAGACTAGATGCTTAGGAAAACTGAAAAGCACAAGGTACTTTATTTACTGGATCATGGTATGTGAGAACTACCAAAACTCAGGCTTCCTTTTAGAAAAAGTTTTTTGCTAGGGCTAATATGGCTTGGCTTGGCTTGGCTTTGATAGGGACATAAACAGATTTCATGGCTGCATACATGCTTACCAACAGCACAACCGCAACCGCCAAACATAAGAAACTAGAACACACTCCACTTAGCCCTGTGAAAAACCAGAAATGCCTTCCATAAATGCTCCTTTAAAATGAAGCTAGCTGGCTTTTACAGGGTAAAAAATGTGATCCACTCCTGTAAATGCAGTGAATCACATTTCCCCACTTTGTATCTGAGGAAAGGGTGGAAAAGGTGGAGGGTACCAGGGGTGGCGGTTAATAATTTGGAGTTGCATTACTGTACAATGCCAGCTCTTCCAAATGCTTGAGCTCCTGTCCTCTCCTGTCCTCTCCTCTCTGGACTACACCAGCTTTTCATTCTGCTATTTCTATGTAACACTTGATTCACCATGATCTACCCTCCTTGAAAACAAAGAACATCAACAAAAATCTTGGAGAGCAAAAGAAAGAAACCCTGGGAGATGATGATGGCATCTTAAAAACACCCACAAACTACCACGGGTGAAAAATCACAAGTGCACAATAAATGCCTCATGTAGAAAATCCTCTTAGTTTGGATGTCACAATGACCCATGTTTTTCAAAGCCCTGGTTTACCAGGAAAGAAGTGAGAGGGAACGATCATTCTGGTTCTTGCCACCCCTTTGCCTTGTTTGCTGTTGGACAGAGCTTAGCAATCCAGGGATGGCCTCATCCCTGGGTTTTTTGGTGTGATGACCAAACACAGATTTCTAGGTTCCTGGGGTGAGAGGAGAACCCAGAGCTGTAACCCAGGAACAAACCGTGGACATCCAAATGTGCAAGAGAAGACGTGACTCCTATGACAACAGGGCTTCTCATTCAACGCAGCAGTTATTTTGAGCTTTGTAGCAGCTGTCCATGGTGCTGAACCATGGTGCCCCACCCCATTGGTTCGCCACCTCTATCTTGGATAACTCCGGTAATGTTCAATATAAAAGCTGCAGCAGATAAGGAGACACACTGACATAGGAGTCACCGGATCCCCCTGAACCTTTGTGATTCTGGTAGTGGAAATATTTTTTCTGTAACAGCGGAAGACTACTGTGCCTTTAAGAGATGCACTGGGGTGCAACCAGGGGTGCAACTTGGGGCTGAAGTCCAGGGTCCTGCATTCCTGCCTGCATCAGTGAATGGCAGGTGATGGGGCAGAGGCGGAGAGAGCCAGGGTTGCACATCTGGGGCCAACCGGGACTGACACGGTTCACAGCAGCACATGAGCAAGTGCAGACTGTTGAGTCACCCCAGCCTGGGACCACCACTGGAACATGATCACCTGCGCATATTTCCACATGCACTATTTAAGGCTCAGGGCAGAAGTGAGAAACAAATGTTGGCCTCTCTACGGTGTGGTAGCTATGGGGAAAAACATGTGCACGATGACGACTTCCACTCTGTGGAGAAGAGGTCATGTGCGCCCATTCACATGCAGTGCCTGGCTTTCGGGGGTGTTGAAAATGTCATTTCTCAGGAGTTGATGAATGAAACTGTTGCCCGACTTCGGCAGCAGATGCACACAATTGGGTGCGTACGAGTAGTTGCCCAGAGGCTGGGACAATCGGCACCAACAGACATTAGGGAATTGTGAACTTAGACAGAGTGACCGCACAAAGACACCCTGTATACTTGAACAGAATGGCATTTTTTCCCTTTCGTTCTTTCATGAAAATTAAAACCAATGCATACTGTCTCTTTTCGGTAATTCTATGCATGCTTACCTTGTAAATTGCAACAAACTCCATTGGACTCCAAGGGGCTTGTGAAGTACCAGTAAATAAAGATCCATTGTGCATACATTTTAGGCAATTACAGCTTAACCATCCCTTAAGATATGTCTTATACTATTTAATTTGAGAGTAAATGCCACTGAACTCAATGAGATGTCATTCAGAACAAATAGATATGTGTGCTGCATTTTTATTTCTACAAAATTATGCAACTAAGTTTCTTCACTCCGTAAAGCAATATATATAAATGATAATGTTGTAGCTTTTCTTGTATGCAATCATATATATTATTTTCAGTCTTTCAAAGCATTCAGTAATTCAGCAGCAGAAATATTAATTCACTTGTATTACTCAAACATAATACAAACATAATAAATATTCCTTAAAACTATTTTTTTGTCTTCATAGGGTGGTAAAAAAAGTTACTTACCAGAGTGTGTGGGATTATCTGCCCTCTGAGGAAGTGGTGTATCAAGTGAGGCACAATTAAGTTTAAGTATAGCATCAAGGTGGCTTTTTTTTTTTAATGCTGTGACATGTCGTGTGGGCCGTAACAGGTCTTACTCATATGCAGAGTAAGCCCATTAAATCAAATCCAGCACAGCTAGCTTAACAGATATAATTTCAATGCGGTTATGCCGAGATCCAACCCTGTGAGCTTTATACATGAGTTGCGGTAGAATTAATCATAATCTACTCCCGAACTTTGAAATTACTTTCACAACCTTTCTTCATGCCCCTTAGAGCTGATGAGACACTGCTTTTAAGTCAGAATTAAAATGTTAGTTCCAAGTAATATTTAGCATAATGCCATATAAGCCAGCAATATGCAATCTGTAGCTAAGGTTTTACCCATTATAAGTCATATAAGTAACAGAATCAAAGAATTGATTCTATTCTGTCCAGCAGGACAATTCACCTTATTTACAAGATTATTTGTTCATAGTTTTTGGTTTCTCTTGTTCTTATATTGCAAAATATACTACAAAATAATATCTTCATATATATTAATAGCAAGCTTAGGAGCTGGTTGTGAGGATGACTTGGCCCAATGGGGCTACTGAAAAACAAGTTCAGTAGTGGTATGCTTGGTGGAGTGTCAAGGGGTGCAGAAGAACTAAAATAAGAGGGGAAATCTAAGGGAGTCAAACCAGCCAAACAAGAACTGCTCCCCCGAAAAAGCCCCACGAGTATCAAACGGTGACTTTCTGTTCCGGCAGGGCGGTGCCTGAGCACAGAACATTCTGAATGTTGTGAAAGAAAACATGGTGGATTGTCTGAATAGGAGCATTTTCTTGCCCTTCCAGGTAGTATTCACAATGAAATGAAAACCTGTTTGCATTCTCATTTTGACTGAGCTGGCATGACACACTAAGCCTCCTGGGCTTACGAACCCCAGTGGGTTAGAGTCTTCAGACCTTGGCACACTTCCCATGCTATATGCGCCTTGAAGCATTAGCCCAAGCCCAAACCCCTCATTCCCCTGGTGGTGCCTGGCAGAAGTGACCCATCTTCCCTGCTGTCTCCATGGGCTTCTCCGCTGTGTTGTGCCTGGCCTATGCTAGAGAAGTCTGAGTGCAGTGCGGCTGGTCCTGCCCTTGACCAGTGTTGCAGCAATGAGCAATGGCAGCTGCGCCACTTGGCTTGCTCTAGAGGAGGCCTAGCAGGGCACAGGGAAGTTCTCCTCTGGTGCCTCCATCAACTGTCTTTGGTGCCGGATGGGAGCCGCACAGTGGGCTTGACAGAGGTGACTTGAACACCTCACCCCTGCTGAGATGGGCGGCAGCATCTGGCAGTCCACACAACGGCTCTCCAGGCCTCCTTGTTCACCAGGGTGAGGGCTCTCGGGGACTCCTGCTCTCTGCTTTGCTCCCCTCAGCCCAAGGCCTCCTAGGATGCCTGCAGGGGTATGGCGGGGGGGGGGGGAGGCCAAGCAGGGAGTATCTTGGGACCCTTGCTGTGATTGGTTGGGCACAGTCTCAGGGGTGGCGCTATATTTATGGCCCTTTTGGGCTTAAAGTGTTGTTTGAACTGGCCTCTCAGTAGGCATCATGTTTTCCCTCTTATTCAATGCATGTATATGTAATTGTATAAAACTTGATAAAATAACTGATAATTTAAAGATAATGAATGCAACCCAGCCATTACGATGCACACGCAGGAACAGGAGGGGACAGGAACTAATTGTTATTGTTGTTACATGCTGTCAAGTTGTCTCCTGCTTATAGCAACCTTATGAATGAAAGCTCTCCAAAATGTTCTTTTCTTCACATTGACTAATTACAGTAACTGACAGATTACAGAATAATTGAATTTGACTGGCCTGTATAGGAAGTGACTGAAAGTCTAGGATGCTGGTATGGGTATCACCCATAGAAAGGATTTTCTGATTAAAGGCATAAGCCAGTCACATACTATACAAAGAATGCCTCTACTTGAAAGGTTGCACAGTTTGCATTCAGTTCAAAGTAATGAACCACAAGAAGTGAAAGTCCAGTGGGCTTTGAAATTGCCCATCAGTTATTAGTATTTAGTCTTAGGCAGAACACTATGCTGGTGCTCTGGTGTCAGGATCTGAGCAGCTCCAGGGCTCCACCCGCTGTCCAAACTTTAGAAGGACAGTCCTGGTAATTGGAGGATTTGTCTGAAACTCTGCTGCAGCTGCCAGGGCGTTCATGAACACCACCTGGGAGCCCTGAGAGAAGAGCTATTTAAAAGCTGACTCTTCCCTCCAGAAGCTACCTCAGCAATATTAGTCTTTAGTGTACTGTAGTCCATTCTTGTGTTTATATGTTGTTGGCCTGGCTCACTCGCTGCTTGTATTGCCCTACCTCTGAGTTCCTGACCTCTGTCCTGCTCTGACCATATTCTTGCATATGGGACTACACCCTTCCTTGTTCCCCTGCCTATCCTTGGTTCTGATCTTGTCCTGGTTTGAATTACAACTTGGATTTAGTACTGAATTGGTTATTGAATGCCGGCCTTGTATCACCTTGGTTCCAGCTGCCTGGCTCTGAGTGTATCTGTCTTATCTCCTGCTGCCCAAGCCCTGGATCCCTGGTCAGAATCTTTCCCATTATGTTGAGAAGTATTTCTGTTTAAATGATGGGAAACTTCTGATTTTCCAGATGTTTTGGCCTACCACTCCCAGGCAGCAGAGTCCATGGTAAAAGTTGATGAGATGTATTCCAAAATGTCTGGAAAGTCACAGGTTGCTCACCCTTGTAATTTGTAGTAATTATTTCTAATTTGGTGTTTCTGCACAGACCTATGACCCAACTGAAGTACATCATGCAGTAGTTCCATTTCTCTGGAATTCTCCACCTTTAGAGATTTTGATACAATGTTGGTTTTGGCATCTACTGAAAAGGTCTTTGTTTCAGGAAGCCTTCCTTGGTGACCAGTCATGGTTTTAATGTTATTCTGTTTTCAGTGCTTTTAAAATTATTTAATTGGCTTTGTCTTTTTATTGTTCCGCACTTCAGGATCTGTCTAGATGTGGAATGGTAAACAACTGCTCTAAATTAATTCACAAATAAATATGACCCTCCTGAAACAGATGGAGTTTGTTTCAAGCAACTGAAGAGCAGGATGATGTCCTTTCAATTGCTGTGGTCTGTCTAGCGCAGGGGTCGGCAACCTTTAACACTCAAAGAGCCATTTGGACCTGTTTCCCACAGAAAAGAAAACACCGGGAGCCGCAAAACATCTAAAATGACATCTAAAATGAAGATAACCCTGCATATATCGTTTTTTACCTTTATGCTATGTATAATAAAACTATAGTGTGTTGCATTTATGAAATCAATGAACTGCTACAGAGAAAACAAATTTTTATTTCTGCATGCAACAAAAACATTTTGAACTCTGAAAAAAAAGACGCTGGGTTGAAGGTTATTTTCAAATAAAATAGTCAATGTCTATTTGAGTCCTCCTTGTATTTATGAAATAAAAAGCCGAACTTAAATTATCCACCTGCAGCAAACCAAACATGCCACCTGCAGCAAACCAAAAATGCTGTCTGCTTCTGTGTGCCCTCATCCTTTTATCACGTGTACTGGAGGGTGCAGTCAGCTGTCAACCTGAACAAAAAAGGAACTAATTGATACTTTCATACAGTAAGTAGAGTTTCTGCAATACAACAAATATAAATAATAGTCTGGTGAAATATTTAACAAACATCCCTCTCCCAATGTAATAATGTTGCTGGAATTTTTTAAGAATCTTCTTAAAACAAGGAAGTAGATCTATATCTTCATTATGATTTAGCTGCAGCTCTTGTTGAGTCACTAAAAACTGTTATTTTTAATCTTACAGTATAAATTAGTAGGATTCTTTTCATATATTTTGAATAGGAGAACAGCTTCCTGCAGAGTCAAAGTCAGTGCTAAAGGGCTGCATGCACTAAACAGCAAACCCCATAAGTTCGTCAGCAGTAAGAGCAAATGAATCTACCCACGTACCATTAAACGTTGGGTTTTCTTCAGAAATTTTTCTTCCATTTATCCATGGTTGGCCTACTGGGGGAAATCGGCGGGGGTTGCGGGTTGCAGATCCCAGGTCGCAGATATAGGTGTGTTTAGTGACTGATTAGAAGTTAAAGAGTCAAGTGATGTGAATTGTGACAGGTCCCAAGCACAGCTTTTAACATTCAGATGAAGGAGATAACATTTGGACAAAGAGAATCTTTTCTGCAGCATTTCGTGTAGCTGAGCGCCTGCCTGCAGGAAGCTTGTTCCACTCTTACCCTGCACAATAGCAGAGGAATGTAGCAATTTACTTAACCAGCTAGCATGGCATTCCTGAGAGGATGCCTCATCATCACCTAATGGTATTTTGTAACTCGGAGTCTGGGTGTGGGCCAGATGAAAGCAGTGCAGGCCAGATGAAAGGGCATGACGGGCCAGATCCGTCCCGCAGGCCATAGTTTGAGGATCCATGGTTTAACCCAAACAAGGCTGCCAGCATATGCTGTCTTAGCTGTGCTTGTGCTAGAAGTGCTGTCTCTTTTGAAGCCCATTTAGGAGGGCAATGAAATGCAGGACTACAACTTCAAATCAGGCTAGGTTACTCTCTCTACACCTGCTCCTCCTTTGTTTAATATATAGCCTGTTGAAAAGTTCTGGAGAAATTGGAAGCAGCCTCCTGTGACTTGTCGGTTGGTCCAAATACAGGGTTTGCCCAGCTGTGGATTTTTTCATATGCATTAGTACTGCTTCACATGCTTTCTCTGTGGAAAAAATGAAGTCATTATTCATTTATTGTTCTTCATGAAAAATCTTAACAGAAGTCTCCTGTCAGGGCTGATGTGATCCGAAAACTTCACAGAACAAATGTAGGTAACCTTTTGGGCCTATGGGCACATCTGGAAATCTGAGAAACTGCCTTTGGTGCTCGAAAAATGATTGCTCAAAGGAAGGACAAGAAAACTGCCCAGGGGCTTTCATGAGAAATTAAGGCAGCAGTT